ACCTAGTTTACCTGCATGTTGACTATCTGTTGCCTGGGTGTGTTTGTATTGGTTTGTGTTTAGCTTAGTCCCCGGGGAGTGTGAGTGCCTGTTTACCCCTTTTAGGTGCTAGGTGGCTCTAGCGGTAAAGGAAAAAGGGGAGGGGACCTGGTGGAAGTCTGTGTGGACTCACTACTTTCTCAGGTCCGGGGTGTCACTTTGAGGGCCTGGCTAGCCTCATTGTGCACGTTACTCTGCTTGCAGAGGGTGAGACACTTCAGCCTCGAGTGCTGACGCTGGTAGTGTTCTGTTAACCTCTCAGTGCCCGCGGATACGGACACTGTTAGGTTGTGGTGGGATTGGATTCGGGCAGGCATTGCTGTTTCCATCACCGTGCGGTAGTGAGACTTGCGGGTGGGTCCGCAACAGGGACACTGCGAGGTTGAGGGAGGTGGCTGAGGCAACACGCGTAAAGGAAAGGGATTTGAACTGTGATGCATGCACTGTATTTTATTTTGTCTTAATTGTCTGTCACACAGATTCCTGTGCTTGATCTTATCTTACTCTCTGTGTTATTTACACTTTCCCCTCTTATTTCTTTGTTGAGAGAAGTGATTGGTCACACACTTCTCGCCACGCTCCAATTCCGCGGCTACCTCGGATAGGCGGAATTAGTGACTAGTCTACGTTTTGGGAAGACGTACGTAGGAACCCACTCTTACGTAGCAGTCGAGCACTGTAGACCTTCTTTTCTCTCTTTCTCTATATCTGGGACGCCTTATATAGGGAGGATGGGACAGAAGTTAGATAAACCCAGTAATGGTTGGTGTAACGGAGCTCCTTGTACTCCGACTGAGTACCCTCCGTTGACGGATGCTCCTAGCGCTGCAGCAGACACCACAACCACCGCAGACTCCGCAACCGCCATATCTTGACTGGAGTCTCGCCGTCTTCCTTCCACCCTGGATCAGCTTCTGTCCTCCAGGACTGTGTGGGAAAGAACTCTCCCTTCCACCCTGTATGAACCTCCAGCATCCAGGACTGTGCGGTGAAGACCCCTCCTCCAAGGAGAGCGTGTCAGGAACAAGCTCTTAAAAGAGCTAAGTGATTCAAGCTCAGGGGAGCATGTAGAGCATAGCAATCCCCAGTGTGATTATAACAGCTCCCTCCAATAACGAGACAAGGCTACATTTAGAGGGATCAAGAAGAACTGTCAAAACCTTTATTTCCCTTGGGACCAGCCAATAGGGTCACCACAATAACATTGTTGTGAAACCTCAATAAAATCACAAACAGTCAAACCATATCAAGCAACACACAGTGACTTATCACAACACAATGGCACATTTTTAAAGGGGTGGGGGGAGACAATATTTAACAGTAAATATCTCACCTGCCTGCAGAATTAGCAATATGCAAATCTACCGAATATGCAAATGAACCAGTCTTGCAATTCAGGTAGTGCATATTGCTGTTGCTACCAACAGAGGGCACTAGACAAGCTCCATAGCCAAACCCACCTAGTTGGTAGCAAACCTCAGCAATACAAGAGAGCAGGAAATACATTACACAGTACACACACACACACAATAAACAATTACATAACACACACCCTGCACCTATAATGGGTACAGGGTGACTAAAACATAAGATAAATAAAGCAGCCTACATAAATAGTCTGTCTGAAGGTAGACTAGGGGCTTTAAAGCCAGATACATGAAAGAGTCATAGTCACAGGGGAGGAGGCTGGCAAGTAGGCCTCTCCAGGACCAAGTGGCGAAGGGCACTTCGTCACAGTTGGTTAGCATGTGATCTAGTAGAAGACAGAGAAGGAGAAGAGGTGGTTAACAAAGTGAGGAAGATTGCTAAAGTATGTGGAATTACCGTACCTCCGTGCGGCAGATTGCAGCCAGAGAGCTGGCGTAAGTTATTGACAGAGAAGAAAGGGAAGCTGTCGGACCACGATTTGGTTCGTACAGCAGAAGCCTGGTACTGAGTAGCAAGAGCTATTCAGCAAAAGGGATGGGTTGAGGAAGAAATTGATCACAAAGGTTTAAGATTGTTTGTGTATTATAATAATTGTGTTACTTGGAAGTCCTCCCAGCCAGCGCCCTATGATGGCACCCAGGAGGTGACCACTCCCAACATCGCATCAGCAATGACCGAAATGTAGCTGACCATGGTCCCCACCCCTGGTCCCCACCCTACCACCGCCCCTGTTTGCCCAGTCCTGAATGCTGATGGATCCCTATTCTCCCCCCCATCAGTCCTACAGATCTTGTCACCCTCATCCTCTCTCTGCAGCTCCCTGCACCTCCAGTCCGTTTCTCCCGTCAAAGATTTCTGGTTTCCAAACGTATAAGTTTCTGTCCTTCTGTCTTGTTACTTTACGGCGCTCACATGGTTAACCTTCATGCCTGCAGTTTCTCTCGTTTCTCTCTCTCCCCTTTTTGCACTCTGTCTCACTTTCTCCCCCCACCCCCTTGCCTAGGGGGGAGGAGTGACATGCCTGCATTTCAGAGCTACTGATAAGAGTTAGAGACGGGATTTTTGCTGGAAAATATTCTAATTGTGTAATATTATTATTATTATTGCCGTTTGCGTGGCGCCGGCAGATTCCGCGGTGCTATATATATATATATATATATATATATATATATATTGTGATAAAGTGAAGGCAGATAGGCCTTTTAACCCCAGGGGAAGTATGTGTAGGATGTGTTGTAGGCAACACAAAACACTGTTTAGTTATGGGCCCCTGGGGTGGAGCATTTGGAGAGAAGGGTGGGCCAATGCTCCACTCCACAGTTTAGTGGTTTTCTGGGGAGACATGGATCCAGGCCAGGGTTTTTTGGATCGTCTCCAACCCACTGCTCAGCTGCAGTTAATGAGCTGTTGCAGTGGGAATAAACTCCTCCCTGCTAGACAGGTAATGGAGAGGGATTGCTGGCTTCCTCCCAGGAAGCAGGTAGGAGAGAGAGGCTGTTCTCTCCAGATAGAGTCAAGGAGACTAGGCACTTGGAGTGCAGAAAGGAAGCAGTCAGGGCAAGGCTGGCTTGGAGCACTGGGAATGCAGAAAGGAAGCAGTCAGGGCAAGGCTGGCTTGGAGCACTGGGAGTGCAGAAAGGAAAGCAGTCAGGGCAAGGCTGGCTTGGAGCACTGGGAGTGCAGAAAGGAAAGCAGTCAGGGCAAGGCTGGCTTGGAGCACTGGGAGTGCAGAAAGGAAAGCAGTCAAGGCAAGGCTGGCTTGGAGCACTGGGAGTGGAGAAAGGAAAGCAACAGGCTAGCTAGCAGAGTGTTGCTATCTAGTAAGGTTGGTGCCATATGTTTTTGTTAGTTTAACCCTGATAGAGAGGGATATACAAAGTGAGTTAGTGCTCAGACGAGCTAGGTTTTTTGTTTATAGGGTTTTCTGTTACAGTTATGTTTTTCATTTACTGCTGTATCCTGTGTGGATTTTCAAATAAAGTGCATGGAGTATATGCAATTACAAGGACTGTGCATGTTTTTGCCCTAGAGAACCGTGCTACCTGGTGACAAGGATTACAATATATATATATAAAAATTGTGTTTTGTGATAAGGTAGTGAGGATTGTGGGGGAGACTAGCTCACAAGAATGCATTCAGTGTTGAATACGGGATTTAGGAAGGTGTAGCCTGATAATAATAGAGGGATTATGCAGTATAGCTAGGTTAGTATAAGAAGAGGAAGGTGATTAATGGTTGTTGGATGATAATGGAAATTGGTTGAATTCCGTGAGTTTATTTTGCATCATGTTATTTTAAAGTACATGTTTCTAGAGACAGCTGTATGGGCTGTTAAATGCATAATGTTCTCAACTGTCTTATTTAACCTGCCAGGTTTATTTATAGTTTAGTGTTTCATCTCGGAACTGACTTATTTTAATAGTTATAATATAGTGTATTGTTGAAAGTGCGTCAGCCACCACCCTAAAAATGGCGCCTAGTACAGAAGGAGGTTGACTCTGCCAGTCCCGTGACCTATCTACAGTCACGGTTGCTTCTAAAGTGACGTCACTTCCGCCCTTACCATGCCCACACCTCCTGTCTTCCTTTCCCACACATATCATGGACGTCACCCCTCTCACTTCCTCCCTTGCTGTCATTTCCTTCCCCGCCCCTGTCATGGCTGCCTCCATCATGAGGCCTACCCCTATTATGCTCGTCCTATTTAGAGACAAGTTGTTTTCCTTACACTCTACATATTATGAACAGGAACATTATAATTACTAAAACAATCATGCCATTTGTTTCCCTGTATCAGAAATGTGTCCGTGATAAAAAAAAAAAAAAAGGTTGCTAAAATGTAGTTTGCAACTGTGGTGTGACCTACAAATGAGATCTGTTGGACACGAATATAAGAGCATAACAGCTGATTATCCAGATTAATCTTGCAACAAGGGAAATAGCCAAATAATGCAAGTTATTTTAAACATTGTATCTTTACTTAATCGAATCTTGCTAGTTACAGATCGTATGTTTACAGTAACATCCTTTACGTTAAATGATGATTTAGCATTAGAAGGGTTTGTGACATGTTTTATTTAACCCAGACACTACTGGTTATTCATTTTAGTTACAGGGTGGTATAGTTGTTATGGCCTAATTAATATAAATGATAGTACCGCAATAGTTAATGTTTTATCCAAAGACATATAGGAACTTTACTTCACTTACTATTAACCATTATTTATAATGATAGACATGTTCAGACTGCAAAAAGCTATGGCTAATGACATAGAAAGGGGTTAGAGTCAGTAACACAGCCCATACAGAGGTGAGCAAACCCGCTGATGCTTAATGCCCCTGCCATGTGTCTACAGGGGATGGGGGAGGGCCACTAGCCACAGTAGTTCTACCCGTTGAGGGTCATCCCACTACTTTCCTGGTTGACACAGGTGCAGCCTGCAGTGTTCTTAGAGAACAAGACCTGCCTGACTCTTCGTTCCTGACACCGATGTCTCTTGTGTTGGTGTTGATGGTACTTCCCGCAGTAACCCACTCGCTAAACTCCTCCATGTGGATTCTGATATCCTTTCCCAGTTTGTTGTCTCATCCACATGTCCCATTAACCTCTTGGGTGCTGATGTCCTATCCCGCCTCCAAGCATCCATCACCCTCACTGCAGACGGCCAGGTTCAAGTAAATACACCTTTGTCACGAAAAGACACTACAGTTCTTTGTTCCCTTCCCATTTTACTTGGAGATGACATCCCCACGACAGAAAAATGTTCTCTGGACCTCCTTTGTTATCTTGCAGATCAGGGGTGTAAGGCATCTCTTGTCAAACTTCAATTTTGCCAGGCCACAGTAATCTTTCTAGGCCATTGCCTGTCCCATGGCACTAGACACCTCACCCGTGATCGTGTCGGAGCGGTTTTGGCCATTCCGCCTCCAAAAACTCCAAAATCCCTCCACGCCTTTCTAGGCCTCATTTCTTACTGCCGAGCATGGATCCCAGAGGCCTCTCTACTCATGCAACCTTTGTACGATGCTCTTAAATCAGACCCGTTCTGTCTGTCCTCAGAAGCACATGACAACTTCTACACTCTCCAACGTGCTATTGCCTCTGCTCCCGCCCTTGGCTTGCCAGACTATACCAAACCATTCAAATTATTTGTGTCTGAAAGACAAGGCCACGCTACAGGAGTCCTTACTCAAGCCCATGGACCTGGCGGCCGCCAAAGGCCTATTGGCTTCTTCTCTTGCCAACTAGACATTGTGGCTACAGGAACCCCCTCTTGCCTCTGAGCTGTTTTTGCCGCTCAGGAACTCATAAACCGCACTGGGGACCTGGTTCTTGGCCACCCTCTGACTGTTTTGGCACCTGATGATATTTCTGCCATACTTAACCAGGTCCAACTCAAACATGTCACCCCTGCCAGGCACCTTCGTCTCCAATGTCATCTCCTGTTACCTGACAATGTTACCCTTCAAAGATGTCAGGTTCTGAATCCGTCCATTCTTCTGCCACTCCCTGAGGGGGGTAGCTACTATGGATTTATCATGGATGAAGGCTATGTCCTACTTCTTACCCACACTATTAAAACAATGCACCTCAATTTACCCTTCTGTGACGGGCCAGAATATGCCTTCTGCACCATGTGGTACAAGCCAACCATCAACCCTGACCCTCATTATGAAGATGAACTTTATCAATTAGTTGAGGTAAAACTCATTCTACAAGATATTTACTGCGATACTGAAAGCAACAGTATGATTTTGGTTCAACTACCACTTGGACTTGAACATCTATATCACCATTGGGACACAGCCATTCCACATGTCCCTGTTACCAAATCAAAGATAAAGTCATGGGGTGATCTCGGGCCCATGGCAAAACTATGGGCCACCATGGATGAACTACAGCTCCAAGAAAAAGGCGTTGTCAAGTACCCAACAACTGAACATGTAAAAGCATGGCCACGGTACTTTCTGGAAGAAGAATTTGAAGATCTGGTCATAAAGCACGACTATGATCCAGAAACGCCCCATAACTGTTTTGAACAGATGAAAATGGAAACAATACATTTGCCAACCGTGTATGAGGATCCACTAATAGATCCTGACCTCACCCTGTTTGTGGACGGCTCAAGGTATGCTGATGAAGAAGGAAAATATCACACAGGATATGCCGTCACCACAACAGATGAAATTATCAAGTCATCATCTCTACCATCAACAATGTCTGCGCAGGAAGCTGAATTACAAGCCCTAACTTCAGCATGCAAGATATCTGAAGGAAAGCGCGCCAATATCTACACAGATTCAAGATACGCACTGGGCGTGGCTCATGACTTCGGATTAATTTGGAAAACAAGAGGATTTCTTACCACTGCCGGTACACCAGTCAAGCACAGTTCTGCAATCAAGGAGCTGATGGATGCCCTCCTACTCCCAGAAGAAGTGGCCATTCTGAAGGTAAAGGCACATGGGAAGTTGGATTCGGATGAAGCAAGGGGCAACCATCTGGCTGATCAAGCTGCAAAACAAGCTGCAAGAGAACTACAGGAAGTGGACAGAAGTGTGTCCGGAAACGAAGAAACTCCCACATTTACCTTGCAGACACTTCCAACTGATCTAAAAATCCTACGGGAACAACAGGCTGCAGTTGCTCCTGAAGAAATACAAAGATGGAAACAGAAAGGGGCAGTTCTGAAGGATGGAGTGTACTCCAACAACCTCAAGTTCTGCCTCCCTAAGAATTTGTACCCTGCAGTCGTACAATGGGCACACGGACCTGCACATTTATCAAAGGATCTAATGAATGCTCTTGTACCGAAATACTACGAAGCACCCGGAATTACTACACTAGCCAGTAACTACTGCAAGGCCTGTGTTATTTGTGCTAAATGCAATCCAGGAAAAACAATCAAAGTTCCTCCAAAACATCTGGTTAAACCCATGTATCCATTTCAAAGGATTCAAATTGACCACATCCAGAAGCCAAAGAGTAGTCACTATGAATATGCACTAGTGATAGTGGACATGTTCTCAGGCTGGCCAGAAGCCTATCCAGTAGTCAACATTACCGCCAAAACAACAGCAAAACGTCTACTCACAGAAATTGTATGTAGATTTGGACTCCCAGAAGTTATTGAAAGCGACCAGGGCCCAGCTTTCACAGCATCAGTAACTAAAGAGATTTGGACTGCCCTAGGAGTGACCCTTGCTTTCCACACGCCCTATCACCCACAAAGCAGTGGCAAAGTGGAACGTATGAATGGTACCCTAAAAGCTAGAATGTTAAAAATGTCACAAGAAACAAAGATGCCCTGGCCAGAAAGCTTGTCAATAGCCCTATTCAGTGTCAGACACACACCCAGAGGAAAACCCTCACTGTCCCCATATGAGATTCTATTTGGGACTGCACCTAGGCTAGGTTGCTATTTTCCCCAACAACTACAACTTCAAACTGATGTTTTAGTAGATTATGTAACTGAACTTGCAAATGCTTTAAACAAAATCCATGCCCAAGTTTTCTCTTCAATTCCAGATCCTGATTCTTATACGGGCAACCACAGTCTGCTCCCTGGTGATTGGGTCCTAGTCAAGAAATTTGTGCGGAAACACACCCTGGAACCAAGATTTGACGGACCATTCCAAGTTCTACTGTTCACCTCCACCTCCGTCAAGTTGGCAGGGAAAAGCAACTGGATACACGCCTCCCATTGCAAAAGGGTTCCTGTCCCAGAGGAAGCAGACTCCTCACAACCATGTACCTCTGGTACATCATCCCTTTGATTAGTTTCCTTGAGGCCCAACAAGTGGCCATTACCAAAGATGCTAGTGGGTACACATTCTGGTATAATTCATCATGCACCCGCGTAGCTACATTCACCTTTGATTACTGTGACATAGTAGATTGTCCATTTCCCAAGTCACAGATTCAAACCATTTACAAAGATATACCACATGCAAAGGACCCCTATGTTTGTGTAGTTGACGAGCAATGGGGACACAACTGTGACCATTGGGGGGCTGCAGGATGGAATACTGGGCCTGCCTGGGGTTACAAGCCCAAAAGTGCCTTATCTAAAGTAGATGACCATGGCAGATCCCTCCTTCAAAGAATGACTTTAAGAAAGCCAGGGGGAGGTCTGCCCATGAAATTAATGTTAAACATTGAGCACCCTGGTCCAAAGGATGCTGACCAATATGTAATGGGAATGTATTGGAAAAGTGGTTCCTATAACAAATTATGTCATTTCTATCTTAAAGATATGTGCCACTCTCCAGAGTGGCAAGGGGCTGTTCATATGGTCCCGAATCCACTAAAACCACATATCCAGTCTTTTAAGGACATGATGGCCATTGCTAACCCCACCTTTGAAGACACCATGGCCACTGAAACTGGTTACAATGATATCAATCTATGGTTAGAGTGGATGAAATATAATGCTAATAAACATAACAAAACCGCATGCTATGTGTGCGGTGGTGCTCGACCTCATCTTGGCACCTTTTCTCTAACTCTCCCTTTGGAGATAGAGACTTGCTTCCTTAGTCTTTTTGCCTACCGCTATAATTTCAACAGATCCCTCTGCGAAGCATGGACGGAAGAGTACCCCCTCTTAATTGGAAATGTCAAACCACCAGATGGAATCACGATTTACAAGGGTAATTACACTTGTTATGCTATCTATGACGGGATTGGTAAATTCATGGGTAACTTTTCCAATGGCTATTGTGCCACCTACAGAACTGTTCCTATACGCCTGTTGCAACACCATACCAGGTCATTGGGGGATATTTACTGGTTATGTGGGGATCTACAGTTAAGATCTAGGCTGGAAACTGAGTGGTGGGGTGAGTGTACCCTAGCCAAAGTTATCATGCCCATTCATATTATTTCTGATAATCATCATGACACATACGACCCTCCACATACACCAGCTAGAGTGAAGCGCGAAACCCCAGTAAAAGGCAGTTTTGACCCCCACATTTACATAGATGCCGTTGGGGTACCTAGGGGGGGTGCCTAATGAATTTAAAGCTAGAGATGAAGTCGCTGTAGGTTTAATCACTTTTTACCATAGTCACTGCCAACAAAAACCTTAATTGGATTAACTACATTTATTACAACCAACAGCGTTTTGTCAACTACACCAGGGATGCCCTCCAGGGCCTGGCCGAGCAGTTGCAGGCCACATCCCAGATGACCTTCCAGAACAGAATGGCCTTAGACATGATTCTAGCTGAAAAGGGGGTGTATGTAAAATACTACCTGACACCATGACTTGTTGCACTTATATCCCAGAAAACACAGGTCCAAATGGTAAAGTCACTATGGCCATAGCGAAGTTAGAGAAACTCTCAGAAGAGTTGAAAAGGAATTCTGGGGTAACAGATTCCTGGGAAAGGTGGTTTGGTTGGATGTCAGGTTGGCAGAAAGCTTTAGTCCATATTGGTATGGCTCTACGAATTTTCCTTTTTGTTCTCGCTCTTCTTGTTTGTTGTGTCCTCCCATGCCTTAGAAAATTCTTACAGAAGACTACAGACCAAGCGACACTAACTCTCACTCATCTGACAATCGATGATCAAGATCTCACCTCACCCTGTATTCCGCTACAAACTCTCCCTTATACTGATAAAGTGCAGATGTTCTAGGACTAACTAACATTGTAAGGGGGGACTGTTGTAGAATTATAGAATTCTTGAAATTATCTAAGCTAATGCTTTGGCAGGAAGAAATGTGCTGAATAATAAAATGTGTATTTACTAAAAGAACCTTGAAACTAACAATACTAACTACTCAAAATGGCTGCCAAAGCACCCCTCCCATCGAGTGAACACCTCGTGCTAATAAGATGGCGCCTACATCTTGTGTCCACCCCCGTGTCAAGGATGACATCACCTGTTGATGGGAGGGTATCTAACTAACCACTTAACACCTGGACCAATTATTAAAGTTTATTTGCTGTTATCTTGAATTCTTCAGTGATGTAAAAATGCCTTTATAAGGGTCTGCGCACCCATTATCTGTCAGAAGCCATTAAACTTTTCCGAAGTTCTTTCATTAACCTGAACTCTGTGTCTCAGTGTGAATTTACTTCTGCATGCACGCAACTTTATTATCTTTAATTTGGACAGGAACAGATAGTCATTCAAACTAATTGGTTTGCAGAAAATAATCTACTACAACCCCACTCCCTCTAACATGTAAACTCACTGAGCAGGCCCTCAATCCGTCTGTTACTGTCACTATACCCCACTCCCTCTAACATGTAAACTCACTGAGCGGGGCCCTCAATCCCTCTGTTACTGTGTCACTATACCCCACTCCCTCTAACATGTAAACTCACTGAGCAGGGCCCTCAATCCCTCTGTTACTGTGTCACTATACCCCACTCCCTCTAACATGTAAACTCACTGAGCAGGGCCCTCAATCCCTCTGTTACTGTGTCACTATACCCCACTCCCTCTAACATGTAACTCACTGAGCAGGCCCTCAATCCCTCTGTTACTGTGTCACTATACCCCACTCCCTCTAACATGTAAACTCACTGAGCAGGGCCCTCAATCCCTCTGTTACTGTGTCACTATACCCCACTCCCTCTAACATGTAAACTCACTGAGCAGGGCCCTCAATCCCTCTGTTACTGTGTCACTATACCCCACTCCCTCTAACATGTAAACTCACTGAGCAGGCCCTCAATCCCTCTGTTACTGTGTCACTATACCCCACTCCCTCTAACATGTAAACTCACTGAGCAGGCCCTCAATCCCTCTGTTACTGTGTCACTATACCCCACTCCCTCTAACATGTAAACTCACTGAGCAGGGCCTCAATCCCTCTGTTACTGTCACTATACCCCACTCCCTCTAACATGTAAACTCACTGAGCAGGGCCCTCAATCCCTCTGTTACTGTGTCACTATACCCCACTCCCTCTAACATGTAAACTCACTGAGCAGGCCCTCAATCCCTCTGTTACTGTGTCACTATACCCCACTCCCTCTAACATGTAAACTCACTGAGCAGGGCCCTCAATCCCTCTGTTACTGTGTCACTATACCCCACTCCCTCTAACATGTAAACTCACTGAGCAGGCCCTCAATCCCTCTGTTACTGTGTCACTATACCCCACTCCCTCTAACATGTAAACTCACTGAGCAGGAACCTCAATCCCTCTGTTACTGTCACTATACCCCACTCCCTCTAACATGTAAACTCACTGAGTAGGGCCCTCAATCCCTCTGTTACTGTGTCACTATACCCCACTCCCTCTAACATGTAAACTCACTGAGCGGGGCCCTCAATCCCTCTGTTACTGTGTCACTATACCCCACTCCCTCTAACATGTAAACTCACTGAGCAGAGCCCTCAATCCCTCTGTTACTGTGTCACTATATCCCACTCCCTCTAACATGTAAACTCACTGAGCAGGCCCTCAATCCCTCTGTTACTGTGTCACTATACCCCACTCCCTCTAGCATGTAAACTCACTGAGCACGACCTCAATCCCTCTGTTACTGTGTCACTATACTCCACTCCCTGTAGCTTGTAACCTCACTGAGCAGGGCCCTCAATCCCTCTGTTACTGTGTCACTATACCCCACTCCCTCTAACATGTAAACTCACTGAGCAGGGCCCTCAATCCCTCTGTTACTGTGTCACTATACCCCACTCCCTCTAACATGTAAACTCACTGAGCAGGGCCCCTCAATCCCTCTGTTACTGTGTCACTATACCCCGCTCCCTCTAGCATGTAAACTCACTGAGCAGGGCCCTCAATCCCTCTGTTACTGTGTCACTATACCCCACTCCCTCTAACATGTAAACTCACTGAGCAGG